TGCTGATACCCAGCTCTAATCTTACTACTCACGTGAATCTGGGGTAGTCATTTGCAATCCTACTCAAAGGCTCTGCAAGGACTTTGAGGAACACTCCCCCCCTTTTTATAGAAACACAGCACAGGTTTCTGTTTTAATGAGAAAATAATTATATACTTGCATTGTATGCCTCACAGTCACTATAAAACAGAAGCAGGAGAACAACATTGAAGTGGTTAACATATACAGAAAGCCAGGTACTGTATAATTGGTTGACAAATCATGATGAAAGTGCCACCTTCTGGTTGCTAAATAAATCAACATTTTTGTATTTTCCTTCATATAATCTGGATAAGGAGCAAGAAAAAGCCAAAACTGGCAGCTTTTTGAAAGAATAATAATAATTCCGGAAACCTGCATTGTAACCCACAACCCAAATCACAAACTCTAATGCTTAACTATTTTTCAAGATAGAAGTTTCAGTAAAACAGTCTTTGCCGCAGGAAAGGATTTTATAATTTCTTTTCATGTAGACAAAGTTAACTTTGCAGTAGTGTTCCATTGTTGCATTTTATATAGTTTATACATAGATAAATATGTATGCTGGCATATAGTTATAGACATCAAAGCTTGGTAGCATGCAAATGAAATAACGAAGAGGCAAGTAAACTGCATAGCATTTAAGTTATCATAGCACTGAGCCATGTGCTGCTGACAACAAAAGATTATGTATCCATAATTTCTGGAAGAGAAAACCTTGGTTACTTGAGAATTTAGCTATACTGAACTGATACATGCAAACATTTTTATTGCACGAGTGGAAAGAAGCAGCACCCCGAGTATAAAGGACTCCCAGATGTCAAAAACAAGTTTTCTTCATAGGAACTTGACTTTAATTTTTGCTACAGAGGGCAGAGGAAGAAACAGGCAAAGGAGGAGGCATCAAGTGGCAAGTAATGTAATGAAAAAGTGACTTCCAGTGCTTCATTTAATTATTTATTATTATAGAAAACATCCTCAGGAAAACAAGAAATGCACGTTTCTTAGAAGGTAATTTAGGGAGCCAAGAACTACTGATAACTCCCTCAGCCCTGGATAACTAACTACTTTGACAGAAGAAGCACATTCATTTAAGAGGGAGCAAAAGCTGAGATTCAACCACTGCTCAGAGAAGTTTAGATATACATCCCTTGATGTAAGACAATCTCTCAATAAGTAAATAAGCCATTTTGGATGTATGGCTTGATTCTATAGGTCACTGCTAAGAAAACCCTGCCCAGTGCCCAAGGCTCACTTGTGCTCTTCTTGAGCCCTGAGTTATCCCAAACTCCTATTGTTACTAGTGTGCGAGTCTGAGGAATGTTATGAGGGGCAATGCCTCACCATCAGTTGGGCAACAGACTACAGAGTTTGTGGCATTACTCTTCCTATAGCCTCTTGATAATACTAACACACCCATATAGCTGTGGATCAGAATCTACTATAGATCTTCATGTCCGAATGGTAACTCTATTTGAGTATGCGTACACTCTTGCACACAAAGGAGCACAACTTTCACTCAGTTAAAAAAAAAAGATACATGACAACTGCTTAGTTCTGTTCACAGTTACCACCCATTTCAAAAGGGTTTCCTTTTGTTCAAATAGCACTTAGGGAAACAATTCATAGGACGTGTTTAATTGATGCTTATTGTCACTGTTGCTACCATCCCTTTGATAGCATAAAAGGAAAATGTGAGATATACTTAGTGTGCATGAAACCATATGCTGGAAGGAAATATTAAACATTATCATTTGGTTGCAAGCTTTGTGTTCATCTAAGAAAAGCACCAGAGAAATGTTCACAGTATCTAAACTCACGCTAGGTGAGCTTACTGTCCCAGAAAATAACACAATAGTGGGTCACAGAGCAGTAGGAAAAGCAGAACAAGGGGGTTTGGGGAGTGGCAGCTTCTTGGCTGATTTAAAAAGCAATCAAAAGAATCATTTTATGTTTATAAAAATGATACATCTATATATAGAGAACTTGGGAAGGTTTTCTGTCCCATAACCTTGGTAATTTCTAGTCCAGAAATTATGGTTCCCATAGTAAAATACTCTTATTGTATTGCTTTGCATGAAAAGAAAGAGTAAACCTTGCAGCCTCTAGACTACATATGAATACAAAGCACAAGAATAAATACCACATTTCTTTCCTAAATGTCAGATTACAAAACTGCTCAATACTTTGCAATTGTGACTCATGCAAATACTATGTTGGGTCAAATTTTAATATTACAAATACTGCATCAACTCAGTGCCTTTTTATATCCCTTTTCATAAAAAAGAAATTCTCACTCACCCCTATAGCTGGCAAACAGCTTTGGAGAAAATAATCTGTACACCCACTTTTCTTGATCATTCTAGTAGTTCAGCTGCACACACACACACACACGCGTGCACGCACACAACCAGACACACAACAATCCTTTGTCACCAATTCTAAGCCTACGCATTAACTAAAGGTTCTATATTTTGCCTTTAGCTCTGAAAACACTGGTTGAACAGCAAAAATAATCCTTTATTTTTCATTACTTGTGTGTGTTCCCTCCCTCTCTCTCTCTCCCTCACTCCCTATTACCTTCTTCACCTTTTTGTTTCCTGGAAATGTAAATGGTTCCCATAGCATTCTACATTAACTCCTAGGCCTTCCATATTGTATGAATATAGTTAAAGACACAACTATTTTTGCTCTTTGCTTCAAACCTCTTTCTGTGCTAGAGACTGGCTTGACTCAGTTACTGCCTTGGTAAAAAGTAAATGTCATTTTGTGTGTGTGTGCATTCCTCCTTATATTTCTGCCTCAAATTAATCAGTCTTTAATCAGATTTTGCACATATGGCCCTGCCCCCTTATCACAAAATCACTGTCACCCGCTAAAAACATTACATTTAGAAACAGTTATGTAAATATGCTCTGAGAAACTGGAGCAGTCACTATTGCAAGCACACAGGGTCCTACACCTAAGGTAATCCATTTGGCTTTGCTTTGACCTTTAGTTCTCTACTAAACTATGACAGATTGTGTTTGCGACAGAAAGGGATATTTTATTAAGTATGCAGATTGCAAAAATATGGATTGTACCTTTGCAACAACAGCATCTTTTTTAATTTTATAAATGATAAATTAAGAGAAAAGGAAAAGAAACCTTCAAACCACAAAAATAAGAGGAAAAAAAAGATTCTTTGTATCTTATGGCTGTCTAAAGTACACCAAAGTAATGTCAATGTCTTTAATGCAGCAGGGGGGTGATGAGGAAGAATGCAGATAAGTCTGCAGGAAGATGGATGACAGGTAGGTGATGCTACCATGAGGCACCCTCTTGTGGCAGGTCTGTAGAGGCCAAAATCTCTCAGTGTTGCAAAGCAGGGCAGGGAATTCAGTTAGAAGGAAGCATGTGTGTTTGCCCTGCTCTGAGTTTTGCCCACTCGTTTCATCTCCAGGCTGACCCATTGCAATGGGCCTCTGTCAATGGTGATGACATCCTCATTCTTCCTTGGAAGGTTGCACGCCTAGCATCCTTTGAAATGGTTTGTCCTTTCTGGGGTGTTGTATTTGGTGAGTGGGTTTGCCTGTTTGTTCAGGGTGCCTGGAAATGGATCATTTCTGTTTCCAGGCGCATTACTGAGTCTGTCCTATCTTTAATAAATATTGAATTAAAATGCTGCTGCTTTTTAGTTGATTTGATTGATTTTTTTTTTTTTGGTTTCTCCATCCCAATCCGCCTTCATGTTGCACAGGGATTATTCATTTTCTTCTCTGTTGGCATATATTCCAGCCTCCCAACGAAGTGCTAGGGCGCTCTTCCTGCGATTCACCCTGGTAGCCTCAAGGACCTGGAAAGGAAACAAAAATACCATTTTGTTTATTTGCCCTTCTCTGATGCTCCCTGTTGTTCATCCCATCTCCTTTGCAGGAACTTGCACATACACACAAAGCTGGACTATGGAACCCTTATGCACAGAGGCAGGCACTGTTGTACTACTCCTGTAATTAAGCAGATGCTAGGGTTAAAATAAGGATTACACAATCAAACCTGTATATACAGCAGCATTAACTTAGGTCTAAATCTGCAGGCCTGAGTGAAGATGCTACATCTTCCAGAGGAGGGCCACTCACATGGTCAAGGGGCAGCAGGGCAGGCCCTATGAGGAGAGGCTAAAGGGCCTGAACCTATTCAGCCTCCACAAGAGAAGGCTGAGAGGGGATCTGGTGGCCGTTTACAAATTCACCAGTGGGGACCAGCGGGAATTGGGGGAGGCTCTGTTCCCCCGGGCACCACCCAGGGTTACTAGGAACAACGGCCACAAATTGTTAGAGAGAAGGTTCAGGCTGGACATCAGGTGACATTACTTTACAGTCAGAGCTGCCAGGCTCTGGAATGGGCTCCCAAGGGAGGTGGTGCTCTCTCCTACCTTGAGGGTCTTCAAGAGGAGGCTGGACAGATATTTGGCTGGGGTGATATGATCCCAACACCCATTCCTGACTGGGGCAGGGGGTTGGACCTGATGATCTGTTTAGGTCCCTTCCGACCCTAAGTACTATGATACTATGATTCACAAGATAAACCCAGAGATTTCAAATAAAAATCCAGAGCATCGGAAACATTCTGACCTGTTACGGTCTTTCTGAGTTCTTTGTAACAGAAGAATTGCTCTTTTATTTTTCTGTAGTCAAGAAACAAGAGATAACATTTGGCTTTTTCCAAGGGATGCCATGAGTCTACAAAGATTGAGAACCAGTGGCTTAGTGTTATTCACCATGTGGCCTGTTGATATTGGGGCAGCGTTGCCTTAAAATGAACTTCTGGATCCAGGCCTATGTTACTTTACTATGAGTGAATACCCCAAATGAAAATGACATGACATTAAGAATTAAGAGCAGCATAAATCAAAGAAATGCTATAAGAAGCAAGGGCCATGGAACTGTTTGATGAAACACAAATGATTTACTGATGACCATTTTATTGTTAAATATTTGATAAGATTTTCATAAGTGAAGTGCCTTTTAACTAACTGCCATGTTCAAAGTCCCTGAAGAAGAGGCCTTTTAATTCACTGAAGAGGATAGTTCATCAGACATAAACCAGTGGGATTAATGCTGTCTAGCTGAAATCAGAGGCTGCTTGCAGACATTTAAAAGAAAAAAAAGAAAAGAGAAAAAAGCAGCGTTTTACTTTAAACTTGCCAACAAGAGGCAGTGCATTAGTTGGACGTGGCTCACCCGATGTCTGTACAGATTGGATGCTTCAGTGGGGCTTTTTTGGTGCTTTTATCTAATAGCTGATTGAATCCGCTTCAGATAAAAGCGCAAAAAAGCCTCACTGAAGTGCCCAATCTATACAGATAGTGGCAAGCAGCCAGAGTGCTTATCCCATAGTATTAAGCTCATCATTTAAGAAGCCACTGGCCTGCATTAGGAACAGCTCAATTTTCCTAGAAACTTACGTCAAATAGACAGCAAAACAGGCTCAGTCCTTGGTCAAATATTATAGTGAATCTAAACAGGTTTTATTTTTATGGACTTTGCTCATAATGTGCAAGACCTATTCCATAAATAGCTGCAGAGATAACCCCTGGGATTTGGGTACATGCACAGTAATACACTGAAGTAAATGGAGCTAATCCATTTAGGTAAGGTTGTCAGAATCTGGCTCATGGCTTTCAAAGAACCCTTAAATGCCAGCCTGTGTCCTTAGTAGTAGAACATAAGATTCCCATTGAGCACAAACAGTAAAGGTCAAGGACTGGAGCTAACCAGCAGGAACTGCATTCTTTATGCAGTATATCCTGATATATGCCCTTCAGGTGATGACTTCATATGTCCTGAAGTGTCCTGAACAGGTCAGGACTATTTATGAAGTAGAGTGCTATTCAGTGCAAGTTAGGGTAATGGAACTTGGCAAGAGAGGCAGTGAGCTGCTGGGAAGAGATGGCCTCCACCTCTCTCCCCTAGGGAGGAGGCTCTTCTCAGCCAGACTGGCTGACCTGCTCCACCGGGCTTTAAACTAAGCCCGTTGGGGAACGGGGGGACTACCGCCACTGCTGGCCCGCTGAGCAATCCTTGCAAAGCCAGCAGATCACGGCGCTTCAGGGAGCCCACCCCTGCCCCAGCCCTGGTAAAATCTGTGTGCAAGGAAGGAGCCCCCCAGGGGGCACTTGCCTGCCTGTACACTAATGCCAGGAGCTTGGGGAATAAGCAGGAGGAGCTCATCCTCCTGCTCAGTGCAAACAATTACGATGTCATAGGGATAACGGAGACCTGGTGGGACTCCACCCATGACTGGACCACGGGGATAGATGGGTATACCCTGTACAGGAGGGATCGTGTAGAGAAAAGGGGTGGGGGGGTAGGTCTCTATGTTAAGGAAAGCTACACGTCCCTGCAAGCCGATATTGGCGACCAGGGTGGACGGCTGGAGACCCTCTGGGTTAAAATCCGTGGGGAACACGGCACAGGGGACACAATGGTGGGAGTCTATTACCGACCTCCCACCCAAAGTCCTGAGCTTGACCAGGAGTTTGCCCAGGAACTGGCTGAGGCAGCTTGCTCCAGGACCATGGTTGTCATGGGTGACTTCAATTACCCAGACATCTCGTGGGAGGATCGCTCAGCAAAATCTGAGCGGTTGTAGAGCTTCCTCTCGTGCGTGGATGACCTCTACCTGACTCAAGAAGTCTATGGGCCAACGAGAGGCAAAGCGCTGCTCGACCTGGTACTGGCTACTGGGGGTGACCTAGTCGGCGACCTAGTGATCGATGGGAAGCTGGGTGACAGCGACCATGAGCTGATCACCTTCACCATCCGCCGAAAAGCTGGCAAGTCGGTCAGCAACGCGCAAGTCCTTGACTTCAGGAAAGCCGACTTTGATAAGCTCAGGAGGCTTGTCAGTGAGGCCCTAAGGGACCGTGACCACAGGGAGAGGGGAGTTCAAGAGGAGTGGTTGCTCCTCAAGGGAGCGATCCTCAATGCACAAACTAAGTCTATTCCATCTCGGAGGAAAGGCAGCAAGAGGGCACAGCAGCCCCCCTGGCTCTCCAGGGACCTAGCAGATCTCCTGAGGCTAAAAAGAAAGGCCTACAAAGGGTGGAGGATGGGAGTCACCTCCTGATAACTGACGCCCAGGAAAAAGCCAACCTATTAAATAGGTACTTTGCGTCAGTCTTTCATCAGTCCCATGGGACGCCCATGCCCGCTACAGGGCCGGGAAGTCCGGGTGAGGGTGATCCCCTGCCCTCCATTAATGCTGACTTTCTGAAGGAACATCTTGAGAAGCTGGATACCTTCAAGTCAGCTGGCCCTGACAATCTTCACCCCAGGGTACTCAAGGAGCTGGCGAGCATCATAGCCCAGCCTCTAGCACGGATCTTTGAAAACTCTTGGCGCTCTGGTGTAGTGCCCGAAGACTGGAAGAAGGCCAATGTGGTGCCTATCTTCAAGAAAGGGAGGAAAGTGGATCCGGCTAACTATAGGCCCATCAGCCTGACTTCTATCCCGGGGAAGATCTTAGAAAAGTTTATTAAAGAGGCCATCCTTAATGGACTGGCCGACGTCAACATCTTAAGGGATAGCCAGCACGGGTTTGTTGCGGGTAGGTCTTGCTTGACCAATCTCATTTCCTTCTACGACCAGGTGACCTATCACCTGGACAAGGGAGAAGAGATTGATGTCATATATCTTGACTTCAAAAAAGCCTTCGATCTGGTGTCCCATGATCGCCTCTTGGAGAAACTGGCCAATTGTCGCCTTGGGTCCTCCACGATCCGCTGGCTGGAAAATTGGCTCCGGGGTCGGACCCAGAGGGTAGTAATCGATGGAAGTCACTCATCGTGGTGTCCTGTGACCAGTGGGGTCCCCCAAGGCTCTGTCCTTGGACCCATACTGTTCAACATCTTCATTAATGATGTGGACACTGGAGTCAGAAGCGGACTGGCCAAGTTCGCCGATGACACCAAACTTTGGGGCAAAGCATCCACACCAGAAGACAGGCAGGTTATCCAGGCTGACCTGGACAGGCTCAGCAAGTGGGCGGACGAGAATCTGATGGTGTTCAATGCCGATAAATGCAAGGTTCTCCACCTTGGGAAGAAAAACCCTCAGCATCCTTATAGGCTCAGCAGTGCTATGTTGGCTAGCACTATGGAAGAAAGAGACTTGGGGGTCATCTTTGACCACAAGATGAACATGAGCCTGCAATGCGATGCGGCGGCTAGTAAAGCGACCAAAACGCTGGCTTGCCTCCATAGATGCTTCTCAAGCAAATCCCGGGACGTCGTTCTCCCCCTGTACTCGGCCTTAGTGAGGCCGCAGCTGGAGTACTGTGTCCAGTTTTGGGCTCCACAATTCAAAAAGGATGTGGAGAAGCTTGAGAGAGTCCAGAGAAGAGCCACGCACATGATCAGAGGTCAGGGAAACAGACCCTACGATGACAGGCTGAGAGCCCTGGGTCTCTTTAGCCTGAAAAAGCGCAGGCTCAGGGGTGATCTGATGGCCACCTACAAGTTTATCAGGGGTGACCACCAGCATCTGGGGGAACGTTTGTTCACCAGAGCGCCCCAAGGGATGATGAGGTCGAATGGTCACAAACTACTTCAAGATCGTTTCAGGCTGGACATAAGGAAGAATTTCTTTACTGTCCAAGCCCCCAAGGTCTGGAACAGCCTGCCACCGGAGGTGTTTCAAGCGCCTTCATTGAACACCTTCAAGATGAAACTGGATGCTTATCTTGCTGGGATCCTATGACCCCAGCTGACTTCCTGCCCTTTGGGCGGGGGGCTGGACTCGATGATCTTCCGAGGTCCCTTCCAGCCCTGATGTCTATGAAATCTATGAAAAA